TGAATCTTTGTATTAAAAGTTGGATGTCTGCATAACTGAAGAGTATGTCTGGTCTGTATCTACATGTATCTGTATACAGTGTTAGAGCAATTGCTGCAGCCTACAGCCTTTAAACTAGTGATTAAAATGCTGACAGTAAACTCGTCAGTCCAGATGTTACCACATTACTCTATGGTACTTAGAGTTAAAACAACTGAGACAGGCTGATTAAAATAACAGCTGTCAATTCTCTCATTCCTTATATCAAGACTGGAGATCACACTACTGATTTCAGTTCATTTAATATGTGAGTGCACAGATTCATTCTCAACTGGACATAAACGATGATCAAAGGTTGTATATATGATGAAGTCATCAAATCCCAGCCTCCAACACAGTGCGCTGAATCTTAGCTTTGAATGTCCAGTATATTCTAATCAGTGCAATGTAAGCATTCTCTGAACCTATAGTATCTACACCTGTGTGGCAAATGTGTGGTAAAGATACAGATAATGAAATTTAATTATTAATACAATGTACATCATGAGAAACGAAAGCTGAAATTGATTCAGTTTAGTACTTTTCTCTGTATGCTCTGTGATTATAAAGGCCTTAAATTCTGTGATATATACTGTAAATGATTTTCAGAGGTTTTAAAGTACTTAAATCACTGCTGATAGTCTGGTTGTTTATATTTTCACATGTTTTTGTGTCTATAGGGCTATTTGATGATGATTTGGACTCCTCTGGGAGATGAGTACACACCCACATCTGTGCCATACTGCAGCCATTGATGGTGTTACAGCTCTGAGTCAGCTTTGGGCCATCAGACGCACACACTGGAAAACCAGCACCTGGACTTCATGCAGGAGAGATGGCCTCAGTGATGTAGGTTCATAAGCGAGTTCAAACATTTCTGGCCTCTTATCACTTAGATTTTGAATGCATTTAAAGCAGGAACTGCACACCTAGCTGTCAAAAGTTTGGCAGCATGAGTACTGTAAAGTTTTGTAGGGTCCTTGTTAAAAATTCCACAAGCACCACTTTGTCATATAAAGTTCCATTTTTACAGTACATTGTTGAAATTATAAACTATATATTCTAGTTTACCACTTTGTCAGTATATAATATTTATTATCATACATTGTTGAAATTATAAACTATATATTCTAGTTATCCACTTGTCAGTAATCTTTGAGCAAATGGATGTCAGTGATAAATCAGTGGTGATTCACCTGCAAGTGTTTTTAACAAACTTTGTTTTTTGTAGAATTAATCAGCAGCTGTGGAGAGATGGATTTGAATATCTTCTGGTTCCACTTTTTCTTACCTGGAAGCTGAGCATTGCTGATTTCTGACAAGGACACAAACCTCAGCGCTTATCATGGGTGTTACATCCTCCGTGCAGCAATTCCAGAGAAAACGAGAGAGCAACGACCACTCATTAAGACCAGCCAGAAATCTGTCCCTTTCTGGCAGCTGTGGAAACTTCCAATAAGAAAGTTTGTATTCTTAGAACAATGCTGGTCATGTGTGATGTGTCATATGAGGATATTACATTTTGCCTTAATTCTGCTCAATTAAGTGTTTTGATCGTTGATCAGTATGGCAGCTTTTTGTTGTGCTGCAAGTTAAAACCCATTGTCCTCATGAGCACAGCATCTAACAACTCTCCTTAAAAAAGTTGATTGACTTTAACTGGACACAATGGTTACCAGTGGGAGATACATTCATCACTCATCCGTGACACTGGAGAAGTCACCTGGATGAGTGATAAAACAATTTTCCAAATCCAGAGGAACTAAACTTTGTTGTTGTTTCTTTGGGCTCAATTTTGCCTGAGGCTGAAATTGATCTGATTTCTGACAAGGACACAAAATGTTTTCTTCTTTCAGAAAAAAACATTTTGCCAATAATCAGATAAAAAGATTGTTGAACCAGGTGGTATTCTCTGGAGTTTAAGACCAAAACTGAACTCAGTGAATTGACATTAGACTGGAATTCATAAGATGAATAGAAATACTGCTGAAGCTGAATGATATATATATGTGCGTGTGTGTGTGTGTGATCTTTGTTTTCTCCAATTCACCAGGTCTGTATAGTTTAGTATGACTGTGGTACATGATACAAAAGAATAAATACAGAAGAATAAAAACTTTATGAGAATAACTTTACTCTTCTTAAAAATAACTCATAAAACAAGTAAAAGTACAAATGTGTACAAGTTAGAGACTTCCTCAGTAAGTTTACACTCTTTTGGAGTGATTTTAATTGTGCGTTAAAGAAGAAAGAGATTAGAGGTAAAGTAGAGGATGCAGAGTCCATCACTGAGGCCGTCTCTCCTGCATGAGTGTGTGCATCTACATGGATATTAAAATCACCCACAATGGCAGGTAGCTCCATGCCCTCCTGGGTTTTAATTGCACCTTAGATCACATATGCATCAACACTACAATGAGCGGGTGGAGGGAGGTTTGGAGTCCTCTCCCACCCCCATTCTCTGCGGCCTGCTGGAGCGGGAGGGCTAGTAGGAGGAGTTGGCCGTCCGGCTGCGGTCTGGGGTGTGGGGCCTCCCTGCTGCTGCGGAGTCGGGGTGGTCTGCCTCTCCCCACCGCAGGGAAAAGGGTAACACCACCTGGGTCTGGGTGCAATTCCCCCCTCCAGGGGCAAGGGTACCTAGACCCGGTTTGTAGAGTACGCTTGGGGAGTGTGATTGTGTGTACAGCGTCTCTTTATGTCTGTCTCCACGTTGGTTGAGTGTGGAGTGAGTGCACATGAGAGCATGAGGGTGGGAATGGATGTTTGTGTCTGTGTGTGCCTGTATGTCTGTGTCTATATGTCAGGTTGGGTATCAGACGCCACCTCTCTGGGGACACCTCAGGCCCTCCAAGGTTTGGAGGCCTATCTCCACCCACCACCACTTCCCCTGCCGGTGGCGGACTCCCTCAGGTGTCGGTGTGCTGGTGGTTCTTTGTGTCTGGGGGTGGGCGTCCGGGTACACACCGGCTCACTCCTTGGCGGCCGCTTGTCGGGGCCTGGGGCCTGGGGCTCGCTCGGGCCCCCTTTGGAGGTGGGGTGCCCCCGGCCTCTCGGCCTGGGGCTCGGTCACTCAGGCACAGCTGGGGGCCGGCGGAGCTCACGGGCGCGTCACTGCAACTCCCCCTGGCTTCTGCTCCGCGGCTGCTGGGCGAGCCCTCATCTGGGACTCTCCTCAGCTCTTACTGGAACAGTGGCGCGGCTGCCCCTCTGTTGGTCTTCCGTGGTCTCTTGTGTTCTGGGGGCCTCTGGATGTCTGGAGTTTTGATCTCCTCCATACCCGCTTCACACCCTGGAGGACGGGGCTGTGGCCCCCCCACACTCCCTAGCAGATCATTACATGGAGAAACCTTTGGAATGCAAGCATGCTGATCCACACAGGTATGCACACAGGTGTACACATGGGTATTCACAGACGCGGACTAAAGCTTTCTTGGCTGCTGCCTCAAAGCACACTGTGCGCTGTCTATCTTGCGTGCTGCACAATATCGTTTATTATTCAGTAACTATTGATATCTATGACTAGCTAGTTTATTGTGATGGTGCTTTGTTTTCTCTATTATTATGTTGCTCTTTGTTGTTTGCTGTCTCCTCTGTTTGTTTTTTTGTTGTTTGTTTGTTTTTTTGTTTTTTTTTCTCCATACAGGTGACCCAGGAGTTGTTTTTTTTTTCCCCCCCTTCTCACCGTCTCTTCTCCCCTTTGGTTTTCTTTCTTTCTCTCCCCCTCTTTCTCTCATTCATTCCCCCTGTCCTATTTCTTAAAAAAAAAAAAAAAAAAAAAAAAAAAAAAAAAATGACAAAGGATGAACTGAAGCTCTGCCATCACGTAATGTCGCATACTGCTGTTTCTGATGTCATTTAAAAAAAAAAAAAAATGAGTGTGTGCGTCTGAGGGCCCAAAGCTACCTCGGAGCTGTAACACCATCTTTCTCCAGTTTTACTTCTCATCGTGGTAACACAAGTGGTGTTCCTGTTTAAATTTAAAACATCTTTAAAAAGTAATCACATACTTTTTCGGTGATGTGATTTTTTTTTTCTACTTAGCGGGAATATATTGTCTGCTAAAGATTGTTGTGACTGTTAGTTAGGGTTAGGGTTTTTCTTTAAATAGCTTGGGGTCCCTCTAATCGGGAAGGACCCCCAGCTGTTGGGGGAGATCAAAAGATACTAGAAATGCACAGCATGGGTTATGGAACCAGTTTCCTGCAGTCATAACTGTATTTCAGTCAAAATGCTTTTCAAAAATGCATGTGGTTATTTTAATAAAATAAAATAAATGAGATTATTATATGAATAAAACAGTTAAAATAAGGCTGGCAGGACCATGTCCTTTTCTGCATCAGAAGGGAATTTAATTTATTCATTTAACTATTTATTTATTATTTATTTCTGTTATTCATTTAGCAGGGATAATGTCAAACACATTTATTGTATACAAAAAAACAAAACAAAAAAACCAACTGAAAATCAAACCAACCAGCTTCCAACCAGAATATAATAAACATTTAATTAATGCAGTAGAATTGCAACTGGAGGTGACACATTCATTATTGTGCTTAATAACTGCATACCTGAGAACCTTTCAGCCATGTTTTTAAACTATAATTAAAACTCTCCAAAAGTATTTGTGTAAAAAGTTCTAAATTTCCACTGACCATGCTGAAACACAAATAATTAACTAAATTAATATAAAAAAACGTTGAATGAAATTTAACACAACAGCCCTCTGCAAATGAAGCTCTTGTTAAGCCTAACCATTGAACCAGCACTACAAGTTGATAAATGATATTCATAAAAAAAGGATCTACAGACAATAAACCAACTTTAGCCATAGTGGATTTAGCTTACAGATGGAAATTAGCCCTTGGCTATAATCTGGTATGTTTACATTCATGTAAAAAATTTTTTACATTTATGTTCATTAACATGCACTGTCCTAAATAAATAAATAAATAAGCTTAGATTTGATTGGATTGGATTTCTATAAGCTGGATACCTATCCTCAGTAGAATAACTCTAAAAATGTAAAAACAAAACAAAAACACAAAAAAACAAACAACAATGGTTGCTCAATTTGCAAAATATGTACACATATCTTCGTGTTTCTTAGATCAGGGAAGTGCCAAAAGTAGTGTCTATTTTTGTTACTTGTTTAGTTTCTACTGGTGTTGAGTAAAATGTTTAGGTGATAATATGCCATACAAAAATGCCACAACTCAATCTTTAAAATTATTTTTATTATTATTATTCAGTGATATCTTAAGTCCGTTAATGAGGTCATTTCTACATGTGTAGAAAATATGCTGCATGAGTGAAGACTTACTTTAGAGTCAGAGGAGTTCCGTCTATCCATTTCCACTTTCCTTCTTCTTCTTTGTCATTTAAACCAATCCAGGTTGGGTTCTGAGTGAGTGTAATGAGGTAGTTCTATTCAACAATAAGAAATTCTATTTAAATGACAATATAGTTCAGTATGTGGGTGGGGTTTTTCAGTTTTATCTGAGCACATAGAAAATGATCAAAGATTTCACTTGATACAACTTAAGCTTTTAATATATCATTTACAATGGTGTTATTACAACTTATACATCATTGCTAGGCTGCATTTTTATTTGCTTTCCCCTCCCAAGGGCAGGATGTTGCCATCATGAAATGTTCACAAATTCTAACTCTGTTGCTCCACATTACATTAAACTTATTTTAGCAGGAAGTAATCTTCAAAGCAGCAGTTTTCTACGTAGTTATTTTGAAATCTAAATAATCACACAGATAGTAGTCCATATAATTGTTATAATGTGCTGATATATCCACATGGACATATCATGGGATTCCAGCAAACAAAGATTCTAAATATTTCAGATTACTCAGTGTACACCTATATGTTATGTGTGTGAGTTTTCTTGTTTGCCTTCAGCTTAGTTCTGTTGGTATTTTGACCTCATTAGTTGGTGTCCCTTGTGTCTTCTTAGTACTTTTAATTCTTGTCTGGTGATTGTCTTGATGTTGTTCAGCTGTGTCTCATTCCCTTTTGATTTCAACTTCCTTAGTTTGCCCTGAAGAATATATGATCCTGTCTCGCTTTCTCCCCTGTGTGCTGTCTGTTTGTTTTGGTTTGGTTTTAAATTTGCTTCATATTTTACATTTTTGTATCTTGGACCTTTACATTCAGCGTAAAAAATTTATTTATTTATTTAATTTTAATTTGGGTCTACTTTCTGAATAGACTGACACACATTTATAAATATGAAAGAAAAAACACCCACATGCACACAGACATTTTACCTGTTCTTCAGGGCTCTCTATCACCACTAGATCTGCTCCTTTGTTTCTGCAGTCCTTTCTACCTTCATCCCAGGAACCAGACCTTTCAGAGAGGAGATAACAGCTGCAGCTGAACATGCTCCATCTTGAAGGACACGTTTTCTCTGAAAGAAAGATTGAGCACAAAATACAGCACCAATTTACTCATACTAATAATGAAAGTAACCAAAATTTGTGTCACTCAACACACAACAACACAACAAAATGTTGGTCACCGGTATAAACTGCTTGTACTACACTAGTTTTAGATACCTGGAACATCACTTCTCTGGTAGGGAAGGAGTCTGAGCATTTGCAGGAGGTTTACAAATACTTCCTGCAAATACACAGCACGGGTTATAATCAGTCTCTGGCAGAGACAGTCAGAACCTATAGCTTGAGGTTTTCCCAAGCTTTAAAGTAGACTTTGACCTTAAGGCTGGGGAATGGATCCTTGCTACTGGTGAAGCTTATGAACCAAGCAGCAGCTCAGAGTCCTCAACTGTCTTGGAGTCCCTTGATGGGGTGCTCGAAGGACCATTTTCAGAAACTCCTTTGCAGGCAGCACCAACCTGCGACAGGAATGTGGTCATTTTCTTTTGTTGCGACAACCCCCAAACCAAAAGGTTTGCACATGAGGCCTGGGAAATTGTCACCCAAGGACTTGGGTGTGTGATGGCCTCATGGGAAAAAAAAATCTCTTTTTGGAAGTCTAAGAGAGAGGAAGCCATCTACCACTACCACGTGTGGGGGTGAGGGGAAGAGGAGAAGAGAAAGAGACTCAATAACTAAATATTAACAGCACATCCAAAGACTTACTCTGTTTAGACATCATCTGAAGCCTTTCAAGTTCCTTGGTTTTCTCAGTGAGGTTTGCCTGGAGCAGGTCTCTCTCCTCAGTCACGAAGGAAAGGTTGTTACTGATGGCAGAGAACGCTGCTGCTGAATCACGTAAGGAGTTGCAGTCTGAAACAGATTGAGATGGATGCTTCTGAAACACAAAACATTGCTTCCTTCCATCATTCATTCATACTTACTGTGTCTGTAATTATGTGAATTAAAGTCAAAATATTTAAACTTTTTTAAAGTTGTTTCAGGATAGGCTGATAGAGTTTTGAGTCTCTTCAAATGAAGAACCAGACTCACAGTTGACACCAAGGATGATGAGTCCAATCAGCAGGAAAAAACTCAGCAGGCCCAGAGAAAGAATAATAACTAAATTGAAACCCCTCTTAGAGCTCCTTGGACCTGAAAAAAAGAAAAGATCAGTGAAGCTAATAAACTGTACAAAAGATTAAAGATCATCACAAATGATAAAATACATCTGTTTTGTTTTCTGCCACTTCTTTCTTACCTGTGTAATTTGTTGAATGTGTTGGGTAGGAAAGTTTGGCACAATCCACATTAGCGTAAATCTCCTCCATCGTTCCGAAGGCTGCAGACTGTTTCTGTCAGCTCTGCCGCACTGGTCATGTAAATTGTGAAAGTAATACTGGTTTCAATCACTTGTTTTTCATCATTAGAGGAAGTGAAATGTTTCAGATGTTATTAATATCGTTACAAAACCATTGAAACTAGCTGTGATCTCCAAAAGAAAAACAAAAGGAATTTAAACTTTCTTTCTGTTCATAGTTCTCTGAAAAACTTCCTTAATCAAAGAAATCACATAAAAGATCTGAACCTCAGTCAAAGACCTTTCACTTATCGAAAGTATCCATGCTAATAGAATTTGTCGGGATATTTTAGAGGTTACTGACTCAAAATGATTTATAGACATTCATTTTGTATACTGAAATTGTTCAACTGTTGTTTTTGCAACAGTAACTCTAACCTCTCTTTCTCTATAGATATAATGACAAGGCACGAACACATACACACAATAAAAAAATAAATAAAAAAAAAACGACACCTCAACATTAAAAGTGCTCCTAGGAAAAAGTCAGGACCACTAGATGGAGCCACTGGAACTTGTAATGCTGTAAACTGTGTGTCCATTGCAAAGAATAGGAAAGGTTTGTTTAATCAGCAGTGCCCTATGTCACCCTGTATCTTGCTTGTGTCACATTAGGTTTTTTGTGCTTTGTTGTTGTTTTAAATATCTCTGCTTAATTGTGTTTTTGTTGTCTGTTCAGATCAGATCAGGCTTTTTTTGAACCCTGTTTTATTTGTATTTGTGTTTTTCTACTTTCTTTTGTGTGTGTGGTGTTTGTGAGGCTGTGTGTGTGCAGACAGGTGTATTTCGTGGCCCTTGTGGACCCTTGACATGATTAGGTGTCCAGCAGGAGTCTTGGAGCAGGGAGCAGCAGCACAGAGGAGCTGATGGAGTCCTGAGCCCAGAGCTGGTTTCTATTGTCCCCAGTAATTGGATTTGGTCTGGGAGGAGAGATGGCAACCAGTGAGAGGCTGTGATCATTAGGTGTGAATGAGACATGTGGTTCGAGGGCTGAACACACAACCCCACGCAAATATGCGTACACACAGACACACATTGGTATTGTATGTGTGTGATACACGTGCCCGCTAATCCAGATTAGTCAGAAATCGTCAGCCCTCATGTGTTTTAAGATCATTTTGTAAAAGATCTCCACAGCAGTGAAATATAAAAAACAAATAGCAGAACAGCATTTCTATATTACATTGCTGCCATCTTCCATCATAATATTACTGTCAGTACACAGAGAAGAGGGATGTTTCATGGTCACCAGGTAGGACAGGCCTCACTCTAGAAAATCAGTTTTTGTGGCAGCAAACTCAGATAAATCCCTCCTGTGCTGCAAAGAAGGTATTCACATAAAACATCCTGGTTAGTTTTCAGGCTTAGCTTCACCAGGACAACCAGTCGATATACAGAGATATACACTCATCTGTTGCTCACCCACTGTGACAGCTCTGTTTATGGGTGTCTTTGTCCTCTTATGGGGAAAATGTAATTAGTAAAATAAATTAGAATAAATGTATCTGAGAGGTTCCTCTGTAGTTAATCTCTGCTTCAGCCTAACAACTCTAAGCACTAGTATTATGCATAACTACATCTCTGACTAAACCGCCAGATACCCTGTTGCATTATGGTTAATGTGGTCGTTTGGCTTTGACAAGTGAATGGTAAATAGAGTGGTACTTCTATAGCACTTTTCTGCTCTAAACAGAGCGCCTATTAACCCAATTACACAACTTTCACAGACTTCAAACACACACACACAAACACACACACACACACACACACACACACACACACACACACACCAACAACCACACACACACACACACACACCAACACACACACACACACAAACACACATGGATGCACATCAAGGACACCTGTTGTTCACTATCTTACCCAAGGATACTTCAGCACACAGGCAGAGTAATCACTAACCTTCCAACAGATAACCCACTCTACCTCCTGAGCAACTAAGAGAACAAATTATTGTTACCTTAAAAAAGAAAAAAAGTTTTTGCTTTTTTTTAAAAACACTTGTAAGCTCCCCATTTGCTTAGTTTAATATAAAAATAATTATTCAGTTGGTTTCTGAAAAAATAGTGGTTGGCTCAAAATATAGGCAAGTAAAAATTAAACACAAGCAGCCATTCTTCAGTTTGACAACAAGCATCAGTGTCAAAGTGTCCAGCTTCTCATGCAAAAAATACACATTTAATGAAGAGCTGATTTTAAAATATTTTACAGGTGTACGGGACTGCGTTAATGAGGGAGATGTCTTTTTGTGTTCCCACAGTGAGATGGAGCAGATGATCCTGGCAGAGAGACAGAGTGGCTGCGTCCGAGGCGGGTCCCAATAAAACCCGCAGATTATTGTCAAAATAAAAAGACACTAAGCATAACCCGTGTGTGTGGGGTCCTGTGTCACAGCCATTAAATTTATTTATTTGGATGCTGTTGAAGCTGTTTCCAGTGCAAAGACAGTGAGTGAGTTATTCGAAAACACAGGACACTTTGACATAGCGTGTTTGACGTACATCCAACTTTGCTCTATAATCCAGTTTTGAGATCCTTCCCAGACGCCTTAACCGACCACTCACATCCTGGGCCATCTGACTCAGGAATTCGCATGATAAGGTGGGGCCAGGTTTCACAATGAACTCACCCAAACTCTGGCTGATTGGGACCCACACCCAGTTTCACACCTTGGCTCAGGCGATTAGAGGATCATCAGGGGGTCCTTTTGTCCCTCTGTGGGGGGATACTCCCACTAGGTTTATATCTGGGACTCTCCACCATTTGACCTTAGAACTGAAGAAGCTTCTCGGATGAGAGGTGAAACGTCTTCAAGCAACTTAAAGAAGTCCAGACGCTTTTCTTTGCAAGCTCCTTTGACTACGATGACCTGGATGACTGAGAACCTTCACAGACATATTCTTGAGATTGAGCTTCCTTTTTTTTCACCACTGAAACATACACTTGTTGCTTTTTCTTACAGACCAGCACGTGTGCAGCATATTGCTCAACTCGCCTGAAGTCTTTCAGGTGATCTGACCAACAAACCTCTCACCAAAATGAGACCAGTGCAGTGTGCTGCTTATGGATTATTTGCATAGAAAATTTGTCCTATGTTTGTTGAGAGTGCACGTTCAGCTTACTCTCAACTAGGGAAAAACATTACCTCAAAACACATACGCACACAGTGTTTCCATGGGGACCAATCAGCCACTCTTCTTTTCAATAGCGCGCGAGTGAGTCGAGGTAGACGTCTATTGTGTTGTGTGTGTTTGGGGGGTCAGGGTGGTGGTTCGAGAGGGGTTAGGGGGAGCAGTATTAAACAACACACTAGACAGATGAAAGCGCTGCACATCCTTAAATCTAATCATAATTTAGTCATCAGTACAAGATGGTATGCTCGAAAGAAAGAAAATAGGCAAGACTGACAGGACGGTGAGAGACAAGAGTCCATAAGTCAAGGGAAGGGAGACGGGAGATTGCTCTCAGATGGAAAATGATGGACAGAGACGGTCTTATTCCTAAAGATGATGCTTAATTGTTGCTTCAGTCCACATATTCAGCAACAAACACTTAGCCTAAAAGGATTTCTGATGCTCAGATACACTGCAGCAAACACAGATGACTTAGGTGTGAATAACGATGCCTAATCATCCATTTAGGAAATGCAAAATTATTACTATTATCTTATTACTATAATTATATTACTATTATTGGTATTACAAATGGAATTACAGCTGCTCAGTTGAAATATAGCAAAAGCAGAAGTGTCATATTCACATCTGAATTATTAGTGTTGACATTTAAGGCAGAAAACGATCTGTCCATGAAGAGGCTTCTAAACCAGAGTGTCAAAAACTTTAATTAAAACTTGAGATGAAGGTTTTTTGTTTGTTTGTTTGTTTGTTTTGTTTTTGCAATAATTTCTAGAATAGACCATTCCTAGTCCTGATCCCCTTCCTCACAACTTATACAGGAAGCATTTTGGAGCAAAAATGAAGAGAAGCAGTCTGACTGGGGTTTTTTCTCAAATGGGAAATTTGAAAGCTTGCTTTATGTCCATAATAGTGTTTAACACAACTGCAGCTGTATTAAATATTAACATCCTATTTTCATTATTTTACATTTTGCACAAGCACAGTAGAGTGTCTAAGATAAAGTACTTGCATTAGGAGAACTTTACTAAACCTGCTGACCACTCAAAGAACTTTAGAGTGCAAGTCTCATTTCAGCAATAGTTGTTTATTCCATGCACATCAATCACTTTATCGACCTCACATCCACGGTCAGTATAGAATCACCATTTAACCCTGCATGTCTTTGGACTGTGTGAGGAAACCTGAGTACCCTGAGTAAACCTGCCCTCCCCCATCTAGAACCAAATAACTTCCTTTTATGAGTTTTTAATAGAAGTGTGTCTACTGACTATTTTGAAGGTGAAAAAAGATTTTAGAAAGATTGTGACTGTTTCTGCAAAATAATTATTTAAGTTCCAGAGTTACCTATAAACATTCATGATGAAATTCAAAACAATTTTGAACACTAGAACCTGCAGTTTATTTATCTGATGGGGCCATAATTTCAAGAATATGTTCCTGAAGCAAATCAGAAATTCTGCAAAAAGTTTTGGTGTAAACTTGTTGAGATGTTGATGTTACACAAGCAGAAACATGACTGATAAAAGTAAATATTTGGTTGATAGAATCCTTTGATTACTGATGTAAATTTAAATAAATGTGTTATAGGTTTTAACTATTGGTGCTGCCCAAGTGTGACTGGGTTTTGCAATGTATTAGAAACAGCTTTCCATCTAACAGCTGAATATATGTTTGAAACATGCTTAAAAAACCCCAACACAATTTCTTTTTAGCATGTATGTTTTCCCCTTCCCTTCGGATGTTATCATCCAGTGGATGTTATTAGAGGTAATAAAGTCCATTGAGTGGACTGATAACATCTGAAGAGGGTGGTTCCTTCCACATTCTAAACAAACAGAAGTAGGAAAATGGCATAATAAAAACACGATATCAGTTTTTTATGCAGCTAAACTTATTATGCACCAGCATTAGGATACACTGTATGTAATATTCATTGGTGATAAAAAAAATTTTTCAACAGATATCAAAGTAACACTGTGAAGAAAGTAACCAATGAAAATGCAGAAACACACTCAGCTGAGTCAATTGCCCCAGAGCATGCTGGGTTCTTTCCTTATGACAACCAGTATTAAACCAGTCACACGGATACTAAACATGGTTTATTAACTCCACATATTTCATACTGTTCGCCTTTATTTCAAAATAAGAGCCCAAACTTATTCAAGGTAATTTAATTTAGGTTAACAAACAAATCATCAACCAGCACTGAAAAGGCAAAATTAACAAATTTTTTACCTGCATAACCCAAAGGTCCCTGAATCCTTGTACAGTTATGATTCTGTCTGTCGCTCTATAAGCATTTATTTGAACCTCTTACCTATCTTTGTGTTTTACACACCATTAGTCAAAGTATTCATATAGCCAGAGTGTCAGTTATTCCCCCAAACAATATACATGAAACTACATGTCAATGGTTTTGGAAAGGGACAATATTGATTCAATGTGTCTGTAATAAAGCATCTTGTGTTGGCCCCATACATCAGTTCAGCCCCTGTGAAACATGGGTTGGAGGAGAATTACTGTGCTTCTCTCTGTTGGACTGACACTTTGGGTGCTGGGTCAGCTTCAAGCACCCCATTAGCTGGAAACCATTCTCCACCTCTTCTTTGTCCTGTTCTCTTTGGTCCTCTCCCCATCTTGGTCAGATTTGTGTGTGTAGACGCATGTCATGAACTTTTCTTTGTAAGACTAAGTAAATGCACTACCTTCTGCTACTAAGTGTGGTATTGATCACACCTATTATGGATTTTTATCCCATTTCATGATAATGAAAATAATGGAAGTGCCCTGTGTGCAACAGAATTGGTTTAATGCAGAACACGTCACTGAAAGATGGAGAATGGCTGCTGGGGAAATCTCAAAAACCTACAAATAGCAACGAAATGAGGAAAAGAGTTGTTTTTTTTTTTTTAAGAAATGTTATGAAACTTTTATGTTAGAAAATGCAAAGTAATTCTAGTGTTTTAATCCGGTCGTTAAGTGATGACGTGAAGAATCCTACTTCCGGGCCTAAAGTAGTCTGCGTTTAATATGGCTTTTGTGTTGTTAACATGTTTAATGTTTTGTATTTTCTTCTATTTAATTTCAAAAAGCTCCTAAAAAAGTCAGTGATCACTGTTGACCTCCCTCGGCTTTTTTTTTACCGCTAATCATTTATTTAAGCTCAGTTTTTAAAACCTTACGATGTAACTACAGCCCAGCCCATGCAGCAGTATATGAATGACTAACCTCGTATTGTGGATGGATTATCTCAGTTGTTCTCCTGGCTGAAGTTTGGTCCTTTTACAGCATCCTGCCATGCGATTACATTTGTTTCTGACCACCGAGAACACTCACGCTAACTTTTATCGAGTGGAAAAAAAGTTAGCTTGTTTATATTATGCTAACATAGCTGTGTCGCTAGCGGTCACGTAGCACATCATTATATACCAGCTAGCCCAACTTCAGTAACCCTACAAACGTCACTGCTGTTTAGTTTTCTGTCTTCATTTATGTTGGAAGTGATAGCAGAGCTGTACGTTTTAATTTGTTTCCAAAACCCCGCAGTCAGGACATGCTATATTGTATTTAGATAGAAGCTAGCGAGCTAACTTCCTGCTAACTTCTAACGCCGTTAAATGTTATAAATTCCGTTTTCATGGATGCCTGGATGTTAAACTCAACTGTTACACCTGGTACTAAAGATGAAAGACTTTAGACAGTTTTTCAACTCTCAGTAATGCCATAGTGATCGTTTGATATATGGACCTGCAGCGGAGTTTAGGCCCAGGCACGGCTAGTGACGTCAGACTTAACGACCGGATGATGACGATGATCGTGATTATTATGGTTTTAATCTTCAGCATTGTCTTCTTCTTCTGGACGCTCCTTTTAGGGGTCACCATACAGGATCATCTGCCTCCGTCTGACCTTCTTCCAATCATCCTCCTCTGTCACACCAGCACTTTGCATGTCCTTCTTCGCTACATCTTCTCTGAGGTCTTCCTCTTTTCCACCATCCCTCCTCTACACATGGCCAAACCATCTCAGCCTTTCCTCTCAAACTTTGTCTCCACACTGCTTAATCAGAGCTGTCCCTCTGATGAACTCCTTTCTGATCTTGTGCATCTTGGTCACTCCCAATGAAAAGCTTAACATCTTCAGCTCTGTTACCTCCAGCTCCACTTCCTGTCTTCTTGTCACCATCATCATACATCACAGCAGGTCTCACTACCATCTTGTAAACCTTCAATTTGATGTTATCTTTATGCTATCTTTCACCCCTGCCACTCATCTCCACCCACTCCATCCTGCCTCCGTTCTCTTTTTTACCTCTCTTGTGCACTGTCCAAATTTTGGAAGGTTGACCTCAGATACTTAAACTCATCTGTGTTCACTGTCACTTCTCCTTGCAGTGTTACACCTGTGTCCCTCTCATTCAAACACATTTTGTTTTGCTTCTACTGACTTTCATTCCTCTTCTCTCCAGAGCATACCTCCACCTCTCTGGGCTCTCTTCTTCTCCTTTCCTCTTCCTTTGCCCTCAGCCAACAGTAGCGTAGATTCCACTTGCAACCCGTTAGCCAATGGCACTATTGTAGGCCCACATTTTTTTCCCCTGTTTATTATCTGCATGTTCTGTTTAGCAAAGATTGTATACCTTTTGCTTTTCCTGACACAACCCTACTCATTTATCCGGGCTTGGGACGAACAGGAGTACACTGCCTTGTGGCTTCTTCTTCTTTCTTTTTTTAGCACATCTTTGTAATATATTTCTGTGCTTTTTCTTCTTTCTTTGTTCTGTCGATGGTGTTATCTGGTTAAATAAATGTCAAAATAATGGGAAAAAGGAAAAATATGTCTGTGAAGGTTCTCATTCATCCAGGTCATTGTAGTCTAAGGAGCTTGGAAAGAAAAGTGTCTGGACTTCTTTAAGGTGCTTGAAGACTTTTCACCTCTCGTCCGAGAAGTTTCTTCAGTTCTAAGGTCAAATAGTGGAGTGTCCCCCGAAGAGGGACATGGACCCCCTATTGATCCTCTACCCAATCACGCAAACCAAGGTGTGAAAAAGTAAAAAGGAAAGCATTTGGAAATATTGTTCATATTGCGCGGTTTGAAATTGCTGCTCAGAGCCTTTTGCAATTCTTAGCACTTATCATTGTTGTTGTTGCTGAAGTTGTTTTTGGTGTATGTGTATATTTTTTCAGGGAAATGTTTTTAAAATATGTATTTGCTTTTTTATTCTACTTACTATGAAGAAGTTTCTGTTTATTGGTTTGCTTGTTTTTCAGGGGTTAAATAAAAGTTGATCAAAAGAGACACTTATCTGGTTTTGCATATAACTTATAACTTAATAGTAAGAGGTTGGATTTAAATTTGTTGCTGATTTCACTATGTAATAAATTCTTCAAATTCTTTCAATAATTTTTTTTTCATATTATATTTTCACTAATGTTTACATTGTGTATCTGTATGTGTGTATTTGTGGCGCATGCTGCGTACAATAGTCAAATATTACACGGAACCTTTATCCCGCTAACCCGAGTTGCACCCAGAGGAGTGTTTCGTTGACGGACTGTCAGATGACATAATGGTAAACACAGTAAGGTGAGTCAAGAAGTATGTGATATAGCTTGTGCAGGGCACCAGTTCCTCCATCTGAAAACACCAGTAAAGCACTAGCGCCATGCGATGGTGCACATTTGAAAAAGTGAGCCGTTTTATCTCGTTTTTAAATGACATTGATCAAGGATGGAGAGAGGCTAGCGTTAGCTGGGAGCTAACTAGCCCCGGCTCACATCACTTTAGCTGGGGATGAGCACGGGCCTTTTTTCAGTCAGCTTTAGGAGTGTTCCATCGACTTTCTGCATACATTTATTTCGAAAGAATTTAGACGATGAACTAGACGCGTTAGGGGAGCTGACATGGGCAGCAAATTCATGTAAGTGTCGGAATGTCTAACTGTGGCTTCACCTTTGTCAGTGTTTCCAGCTGAGTGATGCTGACTGTGTGTTTGTGAACTGAAGTGCACAGGGCTGAGGCTGATAGTTTTTCATCTGTACCTGCTATCCCAGTTAAATGTCAGCATAATTATTGTCGAAAGCTGCTTAAAACAAGGAGCTAATATCCTTATAGATGTGATGCATTCAAGCATCTATGAAATGCTTTGCGGTTTTTTTAATTAAAACGTTAAATATGCTGGTGTGTTCAAGTCCGTTGGTCTAACTTATGGATATGGGAGTTCTATATAAAATAATTTAGAACTCGTATATGAAATCTTGAGAGGAAGGATTGACACTCAGCAATAAAGCAGTCATTCACACAGTACTCATGTTTTTGTGTAATTGGATCCCTAGGTTGGTTCTACAGTTGTGAATGTTTAAATCTGCAGCCTCAATCGAAATAAAAGCTCAGTATAACATTAAAGATGTGACAAAAGTGAGCCCAGTGGAACCTGATGTGCACCTCATCTCTGGCAGATATGAAAATGTAACCGCTTGCCAGTTTAAAAAAAGTACGATTTTCATTTTTGTTTCTGTGCAAACGGCTTTGCACACTCATGGCTGTTTCTCCGTCAGGTTCATGATGTTTTAATCTGGAAACGATCCAGCTGTCTTAAAGGAGGTGCCACAGAGAGTGCTTTTTCCACACTCTGCAGTATAACATATCCCAAACCGCCTCAGCTGGGTTGAGGTCAGGTGATCGTTGATGTGAGGCCATGTACTGCAGCACTCCATCAGTTTGCATCTCGGTGAGACAACTCTTACAGAGCCTGGAGGTGTGTTTTTAGATTTTTATCCTCCCGTAAAGCAGATGGTGTTCCCCCAACTGAACTCGAACCTGAAGGGATGTTGGATCACTGAAGAATTATGTTACTCTGCTAGTTAGAATTCATCATACATCTCCAACAGTGTCACTACCAAAGTCCATCCACCATTAAAGAAAGGTTGGTTTTTACTTTTTGCTTTCTTGGCATTGTACTGAGCTGATTGTAGGGCTATGTCAGCATGTGTGAGTCAACAGGAGTTTAGTGGGAAGCTCGATGAGTAATCAACCTTGATGACGATGCAGTATTAGCTCACAGCTATATCTGCAAGCAGATGATGTCATGGTAAATATGTTCATAAGAGATGATACATAGTGTTGCCAATTAAATGGATTACAAGGTGGTCAGTGCTTGCTAGATGTACACAGCAGTGAATTCTTGGTGCAATCTAACTTCGATCATTAAATTCTATCTATCCATTTTTTGTTGTTGTTGTTTTTTTTATAGCTTTTTCTTTCAAAAACACAACCTAAACAGATTGTCATAGCATTTGCTATGGGTAGTTCTTTATTTACTGTGCTTGGGTTTGCTTGAATCAACTGGGTGTTGTGTTTGTGGCGTTTCAAACATTGCAGAGAGCCCTCTGATGGACAAAATAGGCAAAGCCAACACTTGTAGGATGGAGGAAGGATGTTTCTCCCATTTCTTTTTAAATTGTTACTTATTTGCAGTTATAAATGCCAACACTGATAAATCAGCAAATAGCTAATATTGCCCCACCAATAAATCAGTGAGACTCATATTTCGAGCTTCTCTGATTAGATTTTTGACCACCTTTTTCTTCCAGTGAAATTGTTCACTGAAAGTTGGTTAACTGTGTTCACTTTGCCACCCATAGTCTTAAAATTATGATGATTTCAAATGTGTTGGAGAATTGGTTTAGAGCGACTACACGTTTTATTACAGATATGAATGTTTGATCCCAGTGTGTTTATCACTGCATCGCAAGGGATATTAATGGTGATTTTGACATTACCTCACCTAAAGGCAAAATGTCATCAACTTATTAATGTAGTTTTTTAAAGCATTTTCTCTTTCTTGTGAGAAAACTTTTAAGTCAGATTAGATAGTTAATAATAATTTTTAAAAGTAATCAAGAAAATCCAGGGCTCAGTCATTTCTGTGCAATGTAGTGTTTACCAGCAGCAAATGTTCTAGGACTTTGTGATAGTCGACTGTATAGTCTCGCTTACATGTGCTACATATAATAAATCTTACGTAAAAATGCAAAGCTAAGAAAATCCCTGACATTTTCCCTCCCATGATAATGTTCTGGGTTTTTTTTATTTTCAACAAATTATCACCGGCAAATTGCTCCATGAAAATGAGTTTCAATGATGCAATGGCCATTAAATAATTCATAAGTGGACAAAAGTAAAAGAGGCTGAGCTGTGGAGGAGGGGAAAATCAATGAGAGTGAGAGAGCACAAACGAGAAAGAAAGAAGTGTGTATATATGGAGAGAGAGGGAGTCTCTCGACAGAGGAGTGGAGACAATCAGAAGAGACAGGCAGTCAAGCAGATGGATGGGAACCCCACCCAGGCCTGTTTCCTCTCTGTCCGCTCAGTCCAGAGATAATCTGCTGAGGAGGAAGTCAAGTATTATTCCAGTACGAGGAATGATGATTGTTTCTGTTTGCTGAGACGGAATCTGAAGTTGGGTTTTTTTTTTTTGGCCTAAGTGTGATGAAGATCCTGTAGGTGGGTAGGTGGTTTGATGTTTAAACTTTAACTAGATGCTTTATTACCCTCTTTCATAATTTTAGTCTTGACAGAGACTCTATTTAAATTTCACAAAAGCACCTGGAATGAGCAGCAAGTTTTCTTACTGTCAGCTGTCTTTCCAGTCTTCGTGCTTATTTTGCATACTTCCTCTTTTACAAGTTCCTCTTTCTTTCTTCCCTTCTGTTACAGTCAAGCCACAAACACCATCCAGCTGATGCCCCAGATGCCCCCGATTGGCCAGAAGAGTGTAAATCAGCTGATGTATGATTTTGACTCTAGTCCCTCAGCAATTGAGACAAAGGAGAAGGACTTTGCTGCTTTTTGCGCCCAAATGTGAGTGTATCTTGCTGCGTGAGGTAGTTTGCCACCCAGATTGGATTGGAAAGTCCCAGCTCCTGCCAGTCCTGGCATGAAACCGCAGTAGCTCCCCGGAGAATATACTGACTCACCTAGCAGAGCTAGTGGAGCATCATTAAAAAATAGAAGACTGTAGCCTGGATGAGGGTACTGTCTTCATGCAGAGGGCAGATCGCAGCTTAAGGCAGCAGTTTTTGAAGTTTGTGAACTGCGTGGGATTTGTTTTGTTACTAGCTTGTCAGCATACCTAAAACACCTGCGTTTGTCCAACTGACAGCTGATTTTTGTTTATTGGCCATGCAGATTCTGCTAACAGGGATTTTAAACCCTTTTTGGATAGCTGTCTAGTTGTAAGATTTCCAGCTCAGGGAAAGCCTGTCCTGGTACAGCCATGGAGGGTCTTGAGCAGCTGGACATGGTGGGTGATATCAGCCCAGCTTTGGAGGCCACAGAGGATTTCATCCACTGCATGGATAGGATACAAGGCCAAGGTACAAGCCAGGCTCAAACAGGGAACCTTCAGCCTGCCAGACAGTCGAAGCAGCTGCAGGAGGTATCTAATGCAGCGCTGGGCAAGCTGAGCTCCAGTGGCGTTTGGAACCTGCTAGCTGGAGAGCAGCCGGAGGTGGGACCTCTAGGCCTAGCTTGGGCCGATAACGTCAGTGTTTTGGGGCTAGGAGTGGGTTTGAGGCACGGCAAGAGAAGCCGAGCGCGTTCCACCAATGACTTGGCTGCCCATACCAACGAGTGTACCAACAACACCACCAACTCCTCATCTAACTCTGCGTTTAAGAAGGGACACAGCCGGTCCAGGTCAGATGTCCACTACCGTCCGTCTGCCTGCACCGACAATGGTCTGCCCACAGTGGACTGCAACACCCTGAAGAACATGATCCTCAACCACCAGCAGGAGGGTGAGTTCATGTTCACACTGTGGATAATATAATATATATGCTAATGTGAACAGCTTAGTCCAGCTCCATGGCAGAGCTGAAAAGGTGAGTCACTGCTCATAAGTTAATATACAGTTAATTGACAGAATGAATTTTGAACAGCAATTTAAAAAAATATTTGCTACATATTGCATAAAATAATAATAATGGATTGGATTTTATATAGCGCTTTACAATGCCACTATTCATTCACTCTCACATTCACACACTGGTGGAGGCAGCTACAGTTGTAGCCACAGCTGCCCTGGGGCAGACTGACAGAAGCGAGGCTGCCATATCGTGCCATCGGCCGCTCTGGCTGGGCGGTAGGGTAAAGTGTCTTGCCCAAGAACACAACGACCAGGACAGAGAGCCCGGGGAAAGAATCCAGAAAAAGGTCACCAACATGTAGCCACACATCTGAAAGCATATTGATTTGCATTTGTTTGATATTTAGATTGTAGTATTGATATTTTAACCTTTGCCTAATGTAAAAATATGTAGCAAATATTTTTGTTAATATTTGCAAAAATATTTGCAAAGTTTACTTGTTAATATTATAACAAGTAAACTTTTTAAATGTGTCTTTCACGTGCAAATTAAGTTTATTTATAATCTGGTACATGTTGATATGCATGATCTGATATCATGATTGTTCAGGGGTTGGTGCTTTCTTTAACTATGTGGTGGATTAGTGGAAAAGTTACAGGTGAACCCAAACTTTAAACTGTAGTTCTACAGTTCAGTGTGACGTACTTGTACATGAAGTGTTGGAGCCAACAGGTATATGCTTTCCTATTAAATCACCAGTAGTTTTTACATCACCAACCAATGTAAGATTTATGCCACAGCTGACCTAAAATAACTAAAATATAATATAAAATATAATTAGTGTTATCCATCCATGAATTTTTAAACGTACTGTTTAAAAAAAATTAGAAAAAAGTAGTAAAATACATTTTTATTTTTGGATTAAGATGCCAAATTACAGTTATTTACTAGCATTCCTAAACAGAAATTCCACTGTGATGGTTCAATAATTTTTAGTTTTAAGCAACTTTTTTGACAGATTTCTAAATACATGTTTTCTTGTTTTTATGAAACCTAATAAATTTGATACGCAAAGTTATTTATTTCGCTTCATGTGTTACCAAGGTCACAGATTTTCAAAAGCATTTTTCATATGGTGGATATAACTTAACCATGTCTTTAGAATCAAGAATACGTTTTGACACAGACTTGAGACTTGAGACCGTATTCATCAAGAGTAAACATGGACACAGGTTGGAAGAGCATTAGGAGTTGTGCAGAATAACAAGGACATTCTTTCTGGAAAGACTATAGTTCAGATTTCTAAATGTACATTTTACTGATTTTCAGCAACATAAATAAATAGATCCGCCTTTACTGTGTTGAGGAGATCATCTGAAAAGTCATACCATCACTTACATCCAGAAATTAACTTCATGCTATTGAGTCAAGCTGACGTAAGTGAGGAGATGTGTAGCTGTAAGTGAAAACGTTACAAACACTCTTGCCTAATACAGTGTTGACCCTTTGCATGCCTCGCCCTGCTGAGGAGTAGCTTCTAAACCACCTCGTGTCAGAGAGGTTAGCAGAAATGATAAAGTTGTGAGTTGAAACTGTCGCAGGTACCTGAAAACCCAGCTTTCGTTATTTATCTGTGCTCGTGCCACTCGCCTTGAAACTCGAGCTGTCAGATTCTCTGACCCAGACGTCTGCCCATAATTGTTACGAGGTAATCAATATTATTCACTTCAGTCAGTGGTTACACCGTTTTTCTCATCTGTATATGTTTTCTAATTTGAGTTAACTGACCCTTTAATCAGATTGAATTTGCCTAATTGGGCGTTTGTGGCATGGAGAGTTGCTTTGACTCATTGAAGATGATGTCATGGCCTCTGGTGACCAACTCATTGAACCTGCCAGAAATATGCACACCTCCTCCTCCTCTGCTCCTATCGACCGTTCATTCACTGAAAAGCTTTCTCAGCCTTTGAGAGGCTTTGGGAGGACAGAAGTCCTGCACTATTTGTGCTGCGGATCGGGGCGTGTGCTGTACTTAGGCTGAAGCATCCTCAGAGAAAGCAATAATGACAGAAGATGATGATAACTTGAAATGACACAGCTGTGCTATGACAGTCCTTACTCAGGCAGAGAGCCCAACACACACACACACACACACACACACACACACACACACACACACACACACACACACACACACACACACACAGCATTTGTTTGTGTGTTTTGGCTATCTAAAGGACTAAGGAGATCCTAAGGGATCCTGAGGGATAATAGCCTGTAATCCTGTCAGCAAATGGACTCAAATGAGGCAAGAGAAGAGGCAACCCAATTACCCAGGCCCTGATACTGGCAGGATTATTTAGTATTAGCATATGTGTGAAAAGACATCAGGCTATTTAGTTTGGCTCGATGTGTATTGAAAAGAGAGGAGGAGGAAAAGGACGGTAATAAGCACAAGGCACAGTGATTTAGCTCGCCTTGCTATGTGTCTTCATTCACATTAAAAAAGAAAAGTAGCCTGTTGGCTTTTCCATTAGTGACAGCTGGGGATGTTTAGGTGCTAAATGGATATGATTATCGCCTTTTTATGTACACAATATACATGCATATGTAACCACATAGGCTTTGCTTATATGTATGTATGTATGTATGTATGTATGTATGTATGTATGTATGTATGTATGTATGTATGTATGTATGTATGTATGTATGT